TGAACATTATGGTGATAAATTAAAATGTTCATGTTCATTGATTGCATCAACATATGGTCAATTCGTCAAAATTCAACCACTATTTCATGAGGTAAGAATAGATTACTCTAGCCTGCTGAAAATGAAAGGTAGCACACTGTCATAGTTTCGTCTTTAAATTTTTTTGAAAAATAGTTAACAATGAAGTTCATTCTCTTTCTTTATTAACTATAGATATGTTCAAGTCCATTTGCTTCGGATCAGTGGCGAATAAATCTTACAGCTGGTCTTGTTCCTAATCTTACTGAGTACGAACAAAGAGATTATCGTCGTTTTCTCTCTGCTCATTTACAATTTCTTACTGGATTATGTCAGCTTTCCATGGAATTAGTGAATGATGCTGTGAATCAACTCAATTCCTCACTACTCGTCACTACTCAACTTCTGTCGGAAACAGGTTTTAATGAAAGCATTCATTTGATGATTAACCAGAGGAAATCACTTGCCCCTACAAGTTTCGCTCGTATTTTTTTCTTAACACGAAGTATAAATAATGGAAATGCTATTATATCAAGCTATGGAACGAACTTCGAGTATGTTTTATCTTTCCCTAGTGACTTCTTTTATCTTATGACTAAACCTATAATCTATGACAATGAATGTTCCTGTGGTTTGTATTCAAATTGCACCAGTCAAGCAAGTTTTATCGGAGCCAATTCCTCCGACACCATTCCTATCAAAGGTTTGAAAATAGGCTGCACACCAAGTGAATCTTTTCGATTGTCGACTCTCGAATGTTTCTATAATCAATCATGCATTAGTCTTATAGAACAATATACTAATTATACGAGCAATATTAATTCGACAAGCTCTCCTATTTCGCTTTCCGCAAATATGAGTAGATTCTCTATGAACACCGTCGTGGCCGAACTTATAAATGAACTATTCATTGAGCAATGGGTAACAACAATTAGTTATTCATCTTATTACCAACAATGCTCACCCTTACTGTGCTCGTATACCTACAGCCAGCAATTTAACTTATTGTATACAATAACACTTCTGCTTGGTCTTCAAGGTGGTCTCACCATTGTTCTCAAATGGATCTGTCCTAAACTAGTTCGAATTGTAGAGAAAGTATATCAACATCGAAAGAAACGCACGAACATTGTTCAACCCGCCAGCTCCCTTGAAATCGCGGTCGCTGATCATATTCAAACAGACATCGGCAATCCTACTAATGGTGAACAACCAACGTCAATGAGTAACACATCTCAGTACGTTGTTTTTGTTTTCATTTGATTCATAGTTTATAATTCTCTTTATTAGAACAAGGTTGGTTTCACCAGTCCAATGTTTTTTGAAAATCGGCTTAGGATGTATACTATTGTTGTTTCTAACAATGGCTCTCATCATATATTCTATTTATATCGCTCGACAAGGAAAGAATGAAGTCGTATTAACAAGTAGGATTCTTTAATAATTGTTTCACTAAATGTCGCTATATTTGATCTATAAGATGATATAACGACGAATATTTCAGCATAATTTTAGTTTTAGCATTACTCTAAGATGTATATGATTCATATATACGACGAAGGTGTGGGGCAAAATGCGGATAAGGAGGATTTATCTGAAAATTATTCTAAAACTAAATGTATTCCTAAAAATAGGTACAACTTTTCTTTCTTAATGCCCGTTTATATTCGAATTCGGCTTAGGCAGCTACTCATTTTGGGCATTGTGTTTAGCATATAATAAGCTTGCATCAATTTCTCGTAATGAGCTATTTTGATCGCACGAAAGAAACATTGATTGTGTTTGGGTTATACTTTTCCTTAGATTTTCCTTTATATCTACGTTTTTGTATGCATCATATGTCTTTATTAGAATCCTCGACAACTGCGATAATCAGTACCGGTACACAGACAACAACAAGTACAACAACAACCAGTTCAGCTGAAAACAGTCAGTATATTTAAACTATTTCTATTTTCTAGTATATATAGTCTTTCGCATAAGTTAAAGATAGAAGTGATCAATTTTCTGATATGTTAATTTTGGAAAAAATATATTCTTTTAGCTGTAATTTATACAACAAATTTTTTTATTTTAAAGCTCAGATAAGACATTCAGCGTTTTTGATCACAGGAGAAACAGAGAGAGGCTTCTGCTGCCACAAATTCAAATTTTCAAACAGAATTTTTGATAATGCTGTCTGTGAACTTTTACAGGCCGATTCAATAGAAAATTTCGTCATTTGTCGAAATAAAATCAAAGTAACAATACTTTTACTAAATTTCTTGTAGAAAATCGTGTGTGGGTGTGAAATAAAATGAACCCTGATACCCACACCCTCACCCTTCCCCAACTATTGTAAAGCTAAGCCCCACTGATTAATATACAACTTTATCCTTTTTAGTACCCACTTGCCAGTTGAAATTTCAACGAATAGTAATACATGGTGTGAATTCCTCTAATATTGTAATACGACAACCAGCCATTGTTGCTGATTTCAATAATGACAATCGACTTGATCTCGTTTTTCTCTATACAAAGCCAAATGCTGTGAATGTATTGCTCGGAAATGGGAACGGAACGTTTATAGTACAGTGGGTGTTACTGCAAGGAAGCCTTAATGTTTTGAGTAGCATTACTTCTGGTGATTTAAACAATGATAAGATACTTGATCTCGCTTTTGTCGATCAATATGCAAACACTGTGAATATTGTATTCGGGAATGGAAACGGAACTTTTGGATCAGTAAAGACTTTATCAGTAGGAAATGGTAGTTTTTTGCAAGGAATTACTGTAGCTGATTTCAATGGTGACACTTACTTGGATATTGCTGTTGCTAACGAATACCAAAATAATGTTCGTGTGTTTTTTGGAGATGGTAAACAAACCTTTATAGCACAAACGACATTATATACTGGACGTAGCAGTTGGCCGAATGCGATCGCTGCTGCAGACTTTAACAGTGATGGTTATAAAGATATTGCTGTTGTCAATTATTATGCTAGAAATGTCGGTATATTTCTCGCGTATGGTAATGGATCTTTTCAAGCACAGCAGACGTCTTTCACCGGTGGTTATTACAATCCAGTAGCTTTCAATGTTGCTGATTTCAATAGTGACGGTCGATTCGACGTCGCTGTATTATATGGTTCTGATAATTCGATAGGTGTATTATTTGGATTAGGTAATGGTACTTTGGGTTCGACAGCAAAGTTTGTCCTAGGAGATAAACTAATAACAACAGAAGTTGCCGTCGGTGATTTTAATGGTGATGGTTACCTGGATATTAGTGGTAGTACGGGTAATTACACGATAGTTGTCTTAGTTGGGAATAAGAATGGAAACTTTGAGCAGCAAGTAATACCGACGTTTGATGACTATGATCTTCCGATACCATCTGCTGCCGGGGACTTTAATGGTGATGGTTATCAAGACATAGTCAGTATGGACCAATGGGAGGGATTTTTATATATACTCTTGAATACAGGTCAATGCTATCCAAATAAGACTCTTGACACAAGTACACCCATCCACCAATGACTTGCGTGAAATTTTTATCTTGAAATATTCTTATTGCATAAATATTCTCAGAAAACATATTTACTTGAAAGAAAAAAAATATTATAAAAACGATATCTACTTATCTCAAACTAGTTAGAAAGCTTTTCGTAATTATTTCTATAACAATATTCTATTTTTTTATGTCGCAAGTACTTTGCAGAAGAACAAGATAAAGATGACCAGAGAGTATCTGACTTTATCAACTCTTCTGTAGTCTTTTCTTTTTTTCTGTCGCTTATTGTGTTTATTACGTTGCTTAGTTGTTCAAGTGCTTTTGTATTGTTTGTTTGTTTGTCACTAATCTTAAATTGTATTACCACTTTCAAACTTATTTAGAACTCTGAATAAAATATCCATTTAAAACAACCAAGAATCTCAATTACATACATATTTTGAACAAACCAATAAAAATAACGAGTAACTAACTCATTAGGACAACTCGTAGAGGGTGTGGGTGGGTGTTCATTCTATCTATACCTCGACGCTTACCCAAGCTCACATTCATCTTCAATACATGATCAGACTTCGTCGATTATGTACTTAGTGTCTGCAAGACTTTTATGCAAACAGAAATCTAACCATTCATCTCTCTCATATTCATAAGTGAAAATACGATTTCATTATCATTTGTAGTTTAATATTTTCAAAATGAGAAAAAAAACTATATACCTTGCTTGCTATTCCTTTACTACCGATTGGTTTTGCATATTATTAAAAGCGATAGAAAAGAAAAAATAATAATCTAGTCAAAGACTTAAAAAACAAAACATGTTACAGAAAATTACCTTGAGAAATATATTTTGCAGCTCATACGCTATCTATTTGTGATGATATCATTTGTGTATGAAATGTATCGTTAAAAAGACATTTAAATTAGTGAAGAACTTAGAATGAAAAAATAGAAATATGTGTAGAATTAATATATGTTCGAATGTGCTTTGATAGATGTAGACCATATGTCAATAAGTTCTCATTTGATTGATAGACAATGAAACAACTAAGATAGCCATGATAATTCTTTGTTTCATCAGTCAAAGGCTGAACAACAGTTCAGCGATATAAGACAAGTAAAAATGGGTGAGTATGGGGTTAGAGACAAGAGACATTGACATCCTTAAGATAATTTTGATAGAGTAATTTGTTCAAAAGCATCCATAAACATATCGTCTTCCTCATATGTGATATAAATATGAGATCTAACCGACTATTTCTACGATAAACATCGAAAAAATATTCTATATCGTGACTTGTAATCCATCCGGTATAGTATCATCTAAAAAATAGAAGCTATTTTAAATGTATATCAGAGATTTTTGGACATTTCTCTACTTGTTTTTATATAATATAGAAATTAAAATCTTTTTTATCATTTTATTGTTCAATTCTGTACAAACTAACAAATAATATTTAGTTTTCTTTAATTTAGTCATGATCAATATAAATTGCTATAGCAGATCTTTAATTTCATTAAAAAATGACTTTAATTAATAATTATTAAATAATAGTATACCTATGCATTTACTGATAGATACTTTCTCATTACCTAGTTTCACAACCAATCGAAGAAAAGCAAAGGTTTGTTTTGCTTGTTTTTATATGATAATATCTTTCGATGAATAATCGTTGTTTTTTTTTTATACGAATACATCAAACTATGTGGTTTATATGTTGAGCGATCATCAAAGTACCTGGAAGATGTTGGATGAATCGTAACAATTCTAGTAAGATTATTAAAATTTCTATAGTTACAACAAAACTACATATCGATATGTTTCATTGATCAAAAATTTGAGAGATTATTAATTAACATTTTGTATCGAATAATACCTTTCACAAGTTAAGTAATAATCAAATACATCAGTATTTAATGACACGTAATACTTAAATGTGTTTGAAAAATATTTCAATGCACATACATAGTATAATCAAGACATATATATACAATTAATATTCAATCTAATTATTAAGTAACAATACAAATTTGATTTTAAATCAATATTAGATATCAGCTTCAAGAGATTAATTTATTTCTGAATATTAATTATTTTTGCAATGAGTAATAAAAAATGAATATAATTAGATGTAAACTGCAGAATCAAAGAGAAAAACATATGACGTATATTTATTACTCAATTCTTTTTCTTCAATGTAGAGAATTACTAAAAACTTTAATTATCCAGTTTTATTTCTCATCTATCAAGAAATATACGATAGATACTTCTGTGAGTATTCAATTTATATATATACGCAGATAATGTTTGGTTGAGATTTAAATTTTCTAATTGATACTTATTTTATCAAAACAATTGTAAATTTCGATCGTGTATGTCATAGTAATCAAACATTAGAATTTTATTTATTGTTATTTTATCTTTATTACATACAATAGTAGTACTCTATTTTTGTTTTAAATAATTTTAAAAGTATTTTGCATTTGTTAACCAAGTAATACACATGAGAAGAGAGTTAAAAGAAAAAAGAACATTATTCTTTTTTGCGTCCTTCAACCGCACGCGGAGCGTAAAGAATCAAAGAGTCTTTTTTTTCTTCTATTTCATACGTTACTGTGTTTTATTTTAATGACGTATAATTTCTTTTGACTATACAACAAATAAATGTTGCTATGTCTGGTTTTTGCAATAATTCAAACAGTAACTAATGTGAAATCTATTTGATTTCTACATTAAATTACACTAATCTACGTCATCGAAGAATAAAATTATTTTTTGTTTTTATATATATATAATGAGAGTATTTCGTATAGACATATTGATAGTATCTGCCCATTTCAAGATATATTGCCTTTCAGCGTTTTTTAAGTAATTCAAGAAAGTAAACAGCTGACTAATATGCAACTTTTATGAGTCGAACGATGAGAGAGGAGAACATGTTTTTCTTTCAATATTGCGTAAGAAAAAAATTGTTTTGAAATTACCGATTTATCACAAGGCATTCGAAAATGTGCATGAAACGATTTAGTGTCTTGACAGTATTTTGATTTTGACATCAAATATAAATTAGGGTGGCTTTGTAGATTTATTCCGCTCTACCTTTCAAGTAAAGATAAAGTATCTATTTATAATCGTACGACAGTAATAATTGAGTATGTTTGTCATATTTATCAGCTCGCATGGTCACAATGAATTGACGAAGTAAAAAGTCTGTTTAGTCAGCTTATCTTTTTACATGGTTTAAAAAAACATTTTTTACTGATAAATATGTTTTTTCTTTCTTTGAATCGATTTTGATAATTTTTATTATTTTAGAACATAACGTGTCCTTGACTTTTCATCGTGGTATATCTTTATTACAACATTTTTTGATATGTCGTCTCTCGTTCGTGAAGCGCATGTCATGAAACGTTTATTGGTGTGGCCAGTGCGTGTTTCAGGCGTCATAGGATCTTTATTTACAAGACAGTTTTCGACGGGGCTTGGATTATGTCAATATGTATCAAAAAATATCTTCAAATCAAATACGATGTGTTTAATGATTACACTTGATTGTTTTGAATGCTTACAAAATGATCCTGTTTTTCAGTTTCCACAAGTTAAATATATTTTGGTTATCTGTGATACTATTGACGATGTAAATGAAATGCAACTACGTGTTACACCAATAACTGACAAGGTCAAATTCTATACAATAGATGATCTTTTAAAGTGGCCAAGAGAACCTGAATTAGATGTAATATTTGGTTCGCTAGATTCCATCGATCAAAGCATAAAAGAAGCTCTTCTATCATTAAATAAAGATCGACTTGATCCCACAAGACGAACCATATTCAATCGACTTTCATTCGCTTTAAATCAATTACCTACGAATCCTCTTCATGGTTTACCTGTGAAAAATATTAATGATTTTACTTCAAATTTCGTTTGTCAATCGTGTGCATTAATTAATGAAAAACCTTATCAATTAGAATGTGAACATTATTTATGTGAAGGGTGTTTAAATACGCGAGAAAGGTAAATCTTTTTATTTGATCCAAAATAATATCTATTTCTTCGTACTATTAGTTGTGCAATATGTCAAACAACTATTTCGCACAATGAAGTATGCATTAACAATAGAATTGTACTACAATCTTATACCATCCTATTTCTTTTGTTCAGGTTTCATTCGATTCAGAATTACAAATAAAGCTATACTCTAAACCTACTGAATGTTTTGGTTGTGAATGGAAGGGAAAGTTCAAAGAATATTCCGTATGAGATTTTTTTCAAAATATATGATATATTTCATATTATTTTTAGGAACATTTTAAACAAAATCATCCTAATTTAATCACCTGTCTTATTGAAAATCAACAAGTATAAATTTTAATTAATAATATTCTTTATATTGAACAATCTTTCACTACTATTTTCAGGCAATTGGAAATGTTGATGACGACGGAATGCCTCTTAATGATTTTTCGTCTCTAAATGGCACATGCTTATGGAAAATATCGAACATACATCAAATGTTACGTATGTATAAAACATCATTTTTTTCAAAATTCTATCTTTTGTATTATCTTTATTAGAAAAGGGTATTTCTGGAGAAATTAATTCGATTTATTCACCTCCATTTTATTTATATCGACATGGTTATAAAATCTGCTTCAGATTATATTTCAATGGAGATCAAAAAGGACGAAATACACATATGTCAATGTTTTTTGTACTTATGCCTGGTGACTATGATGAAGATCTTCGTTGGCCATTTTCCTTGAAAGTGACATTTTCTTTGATTGATCAATCAATCGAACATGATGAAAAACATCATATTAGTCAATTCTGCTGGCCTGATACAGCAGAAATATGTTTTGGTTATCCAAAATTGAGTTGGAATCTTCCATATGGAATTTCACAATGTTTTTCCTTAGAGGAATTAAAAAAGAATCAAAATAAATTTATTCATGATGATACAATGTTTTTTGGAATTCAATTTGAAATTTCAACTGAAAAACCAAGTATGATCCTTATATCAAAAGATAATTTATTCTGATTGTTTTTTATCTTTATGTTTAGCGAATGGTTTAGGTGAGAAGCCAAATGATCAGCCACACACTGAGGGACCTGATGACGAATTAAACCGTTTAATTGGAATATAAAGCTATATGGTTGTGATGCACAACTATCTATTTAACATATGCCGATAATCTGGACCTGACAGACTACCAGGAAAGTCTTTCATTACTAACGCATTTTTTGTTACAATTGTATTCAATTAATTGTCAGTTTGAAAATATGTAGGTTAGAAAAGGAAAAATTTAGTATAGTTCATAGATCTATCAAAGAATCTTGAAATACTAAAATTACTGAAAACATTTATTTAACAGAAAAACGTAAAAATAGATTAGTATTAGCGTTAGTAATGATACTGATAAATGGATGAAATATAACGACAGATTATCTTTCTTATCTTAAACATGTCCTTTTAGTGCTTATAAGTGACTAATAGATTTTTACATATATTTCTTGAGCCATATTTTTCTAACTGAAAGAGTACAGAAACAACTACGTTTTGTTAACATTGATATTTTAATATTGTTCTGCAGTATTAAAATATCAATCGTTTGATAATTAGCATATTTTTTTATAGACTTTTATACTAAATTAAAATGCTTGTTTTCTATTCAATTTTTTATTCTAAAGAAAAATTGATTAAGTTTACGTTAATATTCATTGTTAATGGGTGGGTTGGTGGTTTACAATGTTTTTAAAACGTATATGTTTTTTTTATATACACACATCATAGTCGAGTTAAATTCGAAAAAAATCTGTCTACATTATATTTCTATATTTCTTCTAAATCAATATAATTAGTAATTATTTGTTTTGTAAAAGCTATATTAGGATATCCAATTTTCGTAATAATAGAACAGAAATTATTTTCAAATCTGTTATTTTTTTAATAAATAAAAGAGTTTAAATCTTAGGTTATTCTTTCATTTTAAAAATAAATCTGACTATATTTTTCAAACTGACAAAATTATTATATAATTCAAATGTGTTTTTATGCATGTATTCAAGATTATATTTTATTTTATTCTTGACATTGTAACAGTATTTTTATGTTTAATATCGAAATATTTATGTATTAATAAAATTAATCAGGATTTGTTTTTGTAACTATTTTAATAAAATGATAAAAATTCATAATAATGCAAAATCGATGTAGAAAACAATTCTCAATATGATCTATCTAAAGTTTTTAATTCAAATGATTATGTCCTGTATTTTTTCTTTTCTATTTTTATTGACTTTTATGCTCGTATGAAAAAAAAACGGTGCAGTTTTTCTTTATAAAATCTTTGGCACATCAGGGAGAAGAAAATATTTACATAAGCAATAAAAAGAACTCAACAACGACACAGGCAAAACATTTTTTATTTATACTATGGAATTAATCATATGACAGAAGAAAAATGAAATATTTTTCTGTTTTATTTATTTTTTTTCCGTTTTACCATAGAAACTTAAATTTTACTGGGTTTTTTTCCAACATACAATATGTTCTCGATTATTAGTATATAAATGACTGACGTTACAAGTTTTTTTGCATAAGCGAGTCTATTAAAATGAGCTGGCAGTTTAAAAAATATATTTATTACTTATAACACCGTATGTGTATTGTATATAGATAGTTTTCTGTCATATTTATAACATATTTCGATTATTTTTAACGTGTATAGAAAAATTTTATTCTTTTTTTCAATTACAGTCATCTTGAACCCCATTATACAAAAATACACTAAGAATATCCCCAGTTATTATTATAATAACATTATTACTTGTAAAGTCTGTATAAAAGAGTATTATTTCATCTTTATCTATTAAGATTACATGATCAAGCAACCTTTGATTAATATTTATTTTCAGACTACTTTTCTTTTATTCTATTGATGATTATTTCTTTAACCTTTATTTCAACTGAAACAAATTTTACACTTTCATATGATAACGTTAGTAGAAACATTATCGACTGTTGAATTATCAACGGTTACTCATCATCGCACATCATCACATAATTATAATGTAAATCTCGACAACAATAAACAAATAGTTGAGCAATTGTCTGAACCATATAAATTAATTAATTCGATTGAAAACAACCGTAAGAGCTTAGTTTTAATAGTGTATATGAGAATTTTCACATATATTTGTAATTTTTAATTGTTTGCTCTAGTAATTTGCAATACCCTTACTGTACTCCTACTGGGTGAGAAACAATCGTCTTTAAGAACTACTCTGAACAGATGTTTAACGTCTCAAGATACAAGTTTAATTTTTTTTCCTACAAGAGAAGACTTATTGGATTGGTTGAACAATAATTCTTCAGTAAAAGTGGCTTCTTTAATTATTGAAGCAAAGATTAATGTTCAAGAGATTATAATTCACAGTCATCCGTTTAAAAACATTCGTTCAATTCTTATTTATTGTAAGACAAATATGTTGATTCCGTTGCAGCGTTTTGCTAGATCTTTCATCAAAATTGATGGCATTTTCGATGATGTTACTCGCCTTCTTATCAAGTTAGTTATTGATCTTGCTCTTTTTTCAGAGCAATTAGGTGATCAAAAACGGGAGGATGAAAACAATGAATTAGAAGCTCAAAAATATTATGATCGTGCTTTTAGATTTTGCACATTGGCACGAACGCTTTAGAATGTGAGTGAACGTACCCAGGACATTAAAGAAAAACTTTGAAAAAAAAATTCTTCTATGCGCTTATTCATGCTAAAAGGTATATTTTTAATGAAATCAATGAAATAATTTTTGATTATATTACTAATTATTTTTTTTTTTAAAGTAAAATTTTATTTTGCACTCATTCGAAAATGAAAAAGATTTCGTCATGTTTTTGCTTTACTTTCTACTTTTGCACAAAAACAAGATGTAGAAAGGACTAATACTATTGTTTTTGTATTGACAAAAGTTTACAACGTTAAAATATCGAAGATTTTTATTTACTTTTTGCTTGTATAAATAAACGTCGTAAAAATTTATATATTATTACTAACATAACCTTTCTAGTTTTATTCATAGATGTAGAACAGTCAGTACTAGTTAATACTACTTAATATATATATATATATATATAATTCATACTTTAGATTTTAATTATTTTAACTTTTAATCTATTTATCATCTTTATTGACTAATAAATTACTTAATACTTTCAAACTGAACAATCATCCACGCGGTAAACCATGGCAACTGGAAACACAAGTGGTGATGAAAAAAAAATTCTTTTATTGTGGCCAAAATCAATCACACACCCACACCCACACCCACACCCACACCCATCTATAATTTCATTTATTACGTACGCTGATTTGATTGATTATGTATATGAAAATTTTAGTCGAACAGACACATTTGATTTGCATATTCCTGGAGAATATCTAGAGAAATTACTTGAAGATCCACCTGGCAAATTCGAGCAAATTCGTATTCATGTATATTATGAGAAAAATGGTGATTTGGAACATAATCAAAATTGTTTTCAATTGAAACATAATAAAATACAATTTTGTCTTGAACGTGATTTGGAAAAACAATTGCAAAATACTGAAACTAGTATAGCAACTAGCTCACCAAGATCAATTGATAGACCAGCAATAAATGGTATCACTACTTCAATTATGGAACGTCTTTTCTCTAAACGATCAAATCCATCTCATTATGATTCATTGATGCCAAAAAAATTTCATTCAACAACTCAATCTGATACATGGATGAAAAATATGGAAGAAATTGATCTGCGTTTTAGTTGTGCATATTGTAAATTACTTTTGCGTGAACCGTATCAACTTACCTGTGGTCATCGTTTATGTAAATCATGTGTACATATTCATAATAAGTAAATATTTTTTTCACTGATATTGAAAAAAAATAATACTTTATTTTCTTAGGTGTGCAATTTGTTTCGAAGTCATAGAAAAAGATAAAGTATGTTTATTGAAATTTTTTTCAAAAATACATTCTATTCGTTTATCCAGATTTGGTTAGATCGAGGTTTAGAAATTGAAATACGAAGTTTTTCAAAAACTTGTTCCCAATGTGAATGGAGAGGTCCATTGACATCTTTTAAGGTATGAAGTTTTAATTCTTTTCTTTCATACAATAATATCGTTTTTTAGGAGCATATTGAATACAATCATGGAGATTCTATAGTCTGTAGTTGTTGTAAACAACAAGTAAATAAATAACTGATGACTTTTCTTGTAATTAACCGTATTTTTTCAGGTTGATCGAAGTAATTTGAGTCAACATTACTTATCTGAAACTCATCAACGAAATCTTCTTTCTCGTATACGGTCAATGGTTTTAACAGACAATAATAGTAGCAGACTTAATAATCAAATTGTCAATGGATACTCGATTTCAACAAATGATGCAAATGTTTTAAAAAATTATTTAGAACACACCGAAAGGGACATTTTACTTGTACAAAATAACATTGAACGTCTTAAAAAGCAATCTTCTTTATTCGAAACAGTACTTCAAGCAACCATTAATGATATTGCTAACGAAACAATTAGTCGAAACTCATTAACAAAAAATAGTCAACTTTCTAATGATGGTTCGTTTATTTGGCGTATTACAAATGTTAAAGAAAAGAGAAGTACATGTATAAAATAAAGTTTTTATTTTTATTCGTTGTTATCTATTTTCTAGTGGATGCTGCATCTGAACGACAAATGTCAATATATTCTGAACCATTTTATTCATCTCCAACAGGCTATAAAATGCGTTTACGATTGTATTTAAATGGTGATGGTAATGCACGTGGTACACATTTATCATTATTTTTAGTAATAATGCGTAATGAATTTGATGCTATTATTCATTGGCCATTCAAATATAAAATCATATTTACTTTACTCAATCAGTTACAATCTGATAGTCCATCAAAATATTTTTGGCCTGATGTAAACTTAGCATCTTTTCATCGTCCAACAACGGATATGAATACTGCTTGTGGTATTCCAAAGTTTTTTCCACTTGATATATTTAAAAAAACATATGCTGAATACGTTCAAAATGATACAATGTTCGTCAAAGTTGAAGTGGATTTTACTAGTGAAAGATCAGGTAAAGTATATTCAGTTAAAATTTTTCTTATCAAAAAATACTTGCAAATTGTTTTCTATGTAGAATTAGTATTCATTCCTGGTGTTAATGAATTAGCAAATGATGAAAAACATGCGGACACAATTCATGAAGACATTTATCGAATGATTTCATTAAGCTAATATATGGTGATGAAATTAAATAAACTGTCAGATTAATGATTTTTTTTGCCTTAATAGCATTTCAGAAGCTAATTTGATCACTACTGATGAACTTTGTCAGTTTGGAAATATTTTTTCTCTAAATTTTGAGTTTTTAAATGAAAAACTGATAAATGTAATAAGCATGTGGTTTTTTCAATTAGTTTATTGTTACTAACAAATCTCTGATGCAAAAAAGTCATTACTGCTATTATTTTTGTTTTTTTCTGTTTTTATACATTCTTCCTAAATCCTTCTTACATATTTTTATTTTTTGAAATTCATTCTTACTACGTGAATTTATTAAATAAAAACATCTTCTCTTTTTGGTCGATTTTCAGATTTCGAAGATAGTATAACTGATTGACCTGAAATTTCGACCACAGATACGTTTGTGCTTTTCCAAAAGTCTCACTTTATTTTTTTTTGAATAAGAAGATGCGTAAAGAATCTTGAATGAACTGTTGTCTCGATTTTCAAAACCCAATACATGTCTGTATAAGGAGATCAGAAATGAAAATGACTCATTTTACTGCTGGTAAGGATCGAAGTCCGTTCGGAGAAAGTTAAAGGAGGTTATACTTCGTACAATTGAACGCTTTTGACATGTTTTTTTTATATACATACATCATAGTCGAGTGAAGTTCAAAAAACATCTGTCTATATTATATCTATATTTTTTCTAAATCAATATAATTAGTAAATATTTTTTTTGTAAAAATTATTATTAAAATATCCAATTTCCGTAATAATCTAATAGAAATTATTTTCAAATCTGTTAGTTTTTTTAATAAATAAAGAGTTTAAATCTTACGTTATTCTTTAATGTAGAAAATACCAAGAATCTCTAAAAATGAATCTGCCTATATTTTTCAAACTGACAATTATATTTCATTTTATTGTTGACATTGTAACAGTATTTTTATGTTTAACATCGAAATATTTATGTACTAATAAAATTAATTAGGATTTGTTTTTGTACTATTGTATCAAATGATAACAAGCCATAAAAACACAAAACCAATGTAGCGAATCATCTTCAACGTGGTTTGTTTGAAGCTTTCAATCAAAATCATCACGGCATATATTTTTTCTTTTCTATTTCTATTGTCTTTCACGATCGTATAAAAAAAACGTCGCAGTTTTTCTTCATATAATCGATGGGTGTATACAGAGAGAAAAGATGACGTCATTGATACATGTTTAACGAAAAATAACTCATTTTAGCTTTTTTTGTTTGTTTTTCAGTTGCTTTTTTGCAACATGCAATATGTTCTCGATTATTAGTATATAAATGGTTGATATTACCATTTTCTTTTACATAAGTGAGCATGTCGAAATGAGCTGGTAGTTCAAACAATATATCTATTACTTATAACATCGTATGTGTATTGTAAACAGATAGTTTTCTGTCATATTTATAACATATTTCGATTATTTTTAACGTGTATAGAAAAATTTTATTCTTTTTTTCAATTACAGTCATCTTGAACCCCATTATACAAAAATACACTAAGAATATCCCCAGTTATTATTATAATAACATTATTACTTGTAAAGTCTGTATAAAAGAGTATTATTTCATCTTTATCTATTAAGATTACATGATCAAGCAACCTTTGATTAATATTTATTTTCAGACTTTTTTTCCTTTATTCTATTGATGATTATTTGTTTAACCTTTATTTCAACTGAAACAAATTTTACACTTTCATATGACAACGTTAGTGGAAACATTATCGACCGTTGAATTATCAACGGTTACTCATCATCGCACATCATCACATAATTATAATGTAAATCTCGAAGACAATAAACAATTAATTGAACAATTATCTCAACCATCCAAACTAATTGATTCGACTTAGAACAATGGTAGGACCTTAGTTTTAATAGTATATCTAAAACTGCAAATATATTTGTAATTTTTAATTGTTTGCTCTAGTAATTTGCAATATCCTTACCGTACTCGTACTGAGTGAGAACCAATCGTCTTTAAGAACTACGCTGAGCAGATGTTTAACATCTGAAGATACAAGTTTGATTTTTTTTCCGACAAGAAAAGACTTATTGAATTAGTTGAATACTAATTCTTCAGTAGAAGTAGCTTCTGTAATTATCGAAGCAAAGATTAATGGTCACGAGATTATAACTCGCAGTCATCCATTTAAAAATATTCGGTCAATTCTTATTTATTGTAAGACAAATATGTTGATTCCGTTGCAGCGTTTTGCTACATCTTTCATAAAGATTGATGGCATTTTCGATGATGTTACTCGCCTTCTTATCAAGTTAGTTATTGATCTTGCTCTTTTTTCAGAATAATAAGATGATCAAAAACAGGAGGATGAAAACAATGAATTAGAAGCTCAAAAATATTATGATCGTGCTTTTAGATTTGGCACATTAGCAAGAATGTTCTAGAACGTGAGTAAACGTATTCATAACATAAGACATTTTTTTTACTATATTTATTTTGCTGTTATTTGTAAATGAAAAAGTTTTCTTCATATCTTTGTTTTATTTTCTACTTTTGTACAAAAACAAGATGTATAAAGGACCAATACTATTGCTTTTTTATTTACAAAGATTTACATATCATTACTAATATAATCTCTCTAATTTTATTCATAGATGAATAGTCAATATTATTTAATATTACTTAATATATATATACATGTAATTTATGTTTTAGATTTTTATTTAAAAGCCTTTAAATTACTTGTCTCCTTTATCGACTAATAAAGTATCTAATATGTTCGGTATGAGCAATGATCCACCCAGAAAGCTATTATTCTTGGCAACTGGAAACAGTGATGGTAATATAAACGAAACACTTTTAATTTGGCCAAAAGCTCTCAAAAAGAATTACGAACATTTACCGATTACTTTATTTGTTACGTACTCTGATTTGATTGATTATGTATATAGAAATCTTGGTGGCGGACATCCATTTGATTTGCATATACCTGGAGAATATCTAAAGGGAATACTAGAAGATCCTGTTAGCAAATCCTGTCAAATTCATATTTATCCATATTATGATAATATTGATAATTTAAACTACGATAAAAATCGTTTTCAATTTAAGCATAAAAGACTACAATTTTGTCTTGAAAGTGATTTGGAAAAACAATTGCAAAATATTGAAGCTAGAGTAGCAGCTAGCCCATGGGGATCGATCGGTAGCGAAGCACTAAATAATCTTGCTATGGCATGGGGGGAACGTCTTCGTTCTAAACAATCAAATCCATCTCATTATGATTCATTGATGCCAGAAAAATTCCATTCGACAGCTCAATCTGATTCAGGGATGAAAAATATGGAAGAAATTGATCCACGTTTTATTTGTGGATCTT